CCCCTGTTTTCACTGTATTTGATGTTGGTATAATTTGTGGAGGGGAAGGGGAAAAAACAAATTGTTTAAATAGGGATACAGGTGGACCCATTGCAACAATGAGATGTACAAGATGTTAACTTTACAACTTTGACAGGAGGGGGGAGATGGTAGGGAGAGGGATGTGGGGGGAGATGGGAAGGGATGGGAAGGGAAAACAAAGGAGGAGGTAACAATTCTTGATAAGAAATGTATTCATTACCTTGCTCATGTAATTGTAACCCCTCTGTATGGTATTTTCACAATAAAAAAATCGAAAAAAAATTATTTATATTTCTTATTTTGGGCAGTTGTGAGGCCTGAACTCTGGGCCTGGGTCCCTCTTTTGTATGGTATTTTCACAATAAAAAATCGAAAAAAATTATTTATATTTCTTATTTTGGGCAGTTGTGAGGCCTGAACTCTGGGCCTGGGTCCCTCAGCTCTTCAGCTCAAGGCTAGCATTCTACCACTTGAGTCATACCACCACTTCTGGCTTTTTCTGCTTATGTGGTGCTGAGGAATCGAACCTAGGGCCTCATGCATGCAAGGCAAGCACTCTACCACTGAGCCACCTTCCCAGCCCAGCTGGAAAGTCCCGACTGCCTCAATTTGAATCCTCCTTCCTCTAATCTCATAGTGCTGGGATTGTAGGCTTGTACCAGCATATTTGGAAACTAGTCTTTCTCTTATTTCTTTTCTTTCATTCCTTCCTTCTGTTTTCCTTCTTTCCTTCCTCCCTCCCTTCCTTTCTTCTCCATCTGTCTCCTTTCTCCCCTCCTTTCCTTCATTCTCTTTCTTTTCTTTTCCTTCCTTCCTTCCTTCTTCTCCCCAACCTCATCTCTCTTTCCTGTGAGATAGGATCTCTGTGTAGCCCAGATTGGCTTTGAAGACCCTATATAGCTCAAAGCTAAGCTCTGAATCATCCTCTTACCTTCACTTTCTGAGTGCTGTGATTACAGGTGTACACTGTTATGCCGTGGCCTTGGGAATGGAATCTACAGCCTTGTGCATAGTAGCCTACATACTGGACTACATACCAAGATTTTGTAAGATCATACCTGGATGCAAAGGGAAGTCTTAGCTTCTCCCTAGCAGGTCAAAACCTTGGAGTCAAATCCTGGCATTTCAGTAAGCTAGCATGAGGAGCAACAGCTGTTCTAAAAGCTCCATAAAGGTTCAGTGCTCTGTGGCAGTGACTCAGAGGCAAGGCCTACTGATGGAAGTACAGCCCTTTTCCAGCAACAGGTTGTAGATGGGTATTAGGCAACCAAGACACCTCCAAGATCACATGGAGACACAGGCAGCTCACTGGCCAGTCTAGGGGGAACAAAGACCAAGGTAGCTTAATCTGTTTTCTTTTGCAGTGGTAGAACCTGAGACTCTCTTTTAAAGGGTAATTTATAAAGAAAAAGTAACTTTGCTCACATTTTGGAGGCTAGAAGTCCAAGAGTGTAGCAGCATTGTCTGGTGAAGGCATCATAACCTGGCAGAAGGTAAAAGGCCAGGCAAGCGCATGCAAAGGAAGGGGGAGGGGGCTGGGCTCCTTAGTGTCCACCCACTCCTGCCATAACACACAGCTGGTGTGAGAAAGCTTCACATTTGTTCCTCTTGACAACCTGATCACCTCTGAAAGCCTTCACCATCTGACACTCAAGGCTAGTGCTCTACCATTTGAACCATAGTTTCAGCTTTTTGGCACTTGAGCCACAGTTTCACTTCTGGCTTTTTTTTGTTTTTGTTTGTGTTTTTGTTTTGGTCGGTTGTGGGGCTTGAACTCTGGGCCTGGGTGCTGTCCCTACGCTCTTCAGCTCAAGGTGAGCGCTCTACCACTTGAGCCACAGCACCACTTCTGGTTTTCTAGTGGTTTATTGGAGATAAGAGTCTCCTGCCTGGGCTGGCTTTGAACCATGATCCTCAGATCTCAGCCTCCTGAGTAGCTAGGATTACAGGCATGAGCCACTGGTGCCCAGCTTACTCCTGGCTTTTTGGTGCTTAATTGGAGATAAGAGTCTCATGGACTTTCCTGTCTGGGCAGGATTTGAACTTCAATCTCCAGATCTCAGTTTCTTGAATAGCTAGGATGGCAGGCATGAGTCACCAGTACTGGCTTTGTTCATTTGTTTTCAAATGTGAAGAACTGTGCCAATCTGCTTTTCTCAAACACCACTAATGCCCCATTCTATCATTCTTTCTTCTAATTGATAAGCCACCAATTGTCTTGTCTGTGTGAAAAGTGAAAAGCAAAGTCTCTAGGTCCCTTTTTGTCTCTGTGTGTCAGTATTTGGGCTTGAACTTTAGGGCCTTTGTGCTGTCCCTTAGCTTTTTCCATTCAAGGCTGGTGCTCTATTACTTGAGCCACAGCTCCACTTTTAGTTGTTTTTTTTTGGTCCGGTCGTGGGGCCTGAACTCTGGGCCTGAGCGCTGTCCCTCAGCTCTTCAGCTCAAGGCTAGCGCTCTACCACTTGAGCCACAGCACCACTTCCGGCTTTTTTCTTTTTGCTTATGTGGTGCTGAGGAATTGAACCCAGGGCCTCAGGCATGCAAGGCAAGCGCTCTACCACTGTAGAGTCTCACAAACTTTCCTGCTCACACTGGTCTTGAACTGTGATCCTCAGATCTCAGCCTCCTGAGTAGCTAGGTTTACAGGTATGAGCCACCAGCACTTGGCAATCTCTGGGTTCTTTGGGAGAGATACCTGAGCTGCAGATTGTTAACATAGCTTATCATCCTTCAGGTAGTTTAAAACTAGAACATGGGCTGGGAATGTGGGTGAGTGGTAGAGTGCTTGCCAAGCATGCATGAAGCTCTGGATTCGATTCCTTAGTACCATATAAACAGAAGAAGCCAGAAGTGGCACTATGGCTCAAATGGTAGGGTGCTAGCCTCAAGTAAAAGAAGCTCAGGGACAGTGCTCAGGCCCTGAGTTCAAGCCCCAGGACTGGCAAAAAAAAAAAAAAATTCAAAACCAGAATGCCACATCTGTAAAATTGAGCTAACACATGTCATAATAAAAACCAGATTCACAATATGAGGTTGAAGCTGTCTTTGCATACTCTCTGCTATTTCAAGTATTAGTAGTTTCATGGCTATGCAAACTCATTGCAAGGGACTTTTATACTGCTCCTAGGCAACCCAAGAAGCCATGAAATAGAGTAAGGACAATCTTCTCAAAGATCTCTCTACAAGAAATCCATTTAAAGAGTGATTTCTTGGTTCAGGATTCAGTCACACAGATCAGGCTGTCCTGAAACATCTCTGGACTCATGTAACCACAGCTCCCCTAGAACCAGTCATATTTTATTCAGTGAGTGCTAGGAGCTGTCTTTTGACCTACCCGAACAATTTATTTTTTTCTTTCTTGTAATGCTAGGGATAGAACCCAGAACTTCATACCTGCTAGGGAAGGGCTTTCACCACTGAGCTCCAGCTCCACTCCTGGAATAACAGCATTTTTTTTCTCTAGCCTTAAGGTATAATTAACAAAAATTGTACATACATGGCATGTGCAATGTGTATGTGATATGTATATGCATTGCAAAATAATTAAATCAAGGTTTCTTCTGATTTTTGTTTAAACTCGTAAGACAGAAAAGTTGGTGGGAAGTTTGTTTCTCATGGGTGGCCACTTACCTAGAAATTGCTGGCTGAATCAGAGAAGAAAATCCATGAGAAACACACCTTCTCCCTGGGGTGGGCACAAGGTAAGATCTATGCTCACATCTCCACATATGCAGGTCATACTGCTGTAAAGGAAACCTGAGCAGAGAAACCTTTTAGGATGACCCACTGAAGTCCCTGGTGGGCCATAAAGAGGGAGTTGGTGGCTGGGCACCAGTGGTGGCTCACGCCTGTAATCCTAGCTCCTCAGGAGGCTGAGATCTGAGGATCTCAGTTTGAAGCCAGCCCAGGCTGGAAAGTCTGTGAGACTCTTATCTCCAACAAATTACCAAAAATTAACAAGTGGAGATGTGGCTCAAGTAGTAGAGTGCTAGCCTTAAGCAAAAGAAGCTCTGTGATAGGGCCTAGGCCCTGAGGTCAAGCCCTAGAACTGGGCAGGGGGGGGAGGAGGGGGAGCGAGTTGGGGCTAGAGGGTATGGCTCAGTGGTAGGGTGCTTTCCTAGCATGTGAGACACGCTGGGTTTGATATCCAGTGCTACAAAAATGAATGAATGATTTTCAGGGCTTCAAAGTTTGACAAGTTAGGGTATCTTCTCACTTTAGGATAACAAATAGTTAAATCTGCAATAAGTTCTGTAACCCATAATGAAAGGGAGTCTGTGGGTTAACTGAGTTTTCTGATGTAAGTTTCTAATGCAGTGCAAATTTGAGTCTCAAGCTCTTTGGGGCCTGGGATGTAGCTCAGTGGCAGAGCACTTGCCTAGCATGTGTAAAACCCTGGATTTCATCCCCAAACTAAAAAACAAAAGTAAAAGAAACACTGCCCCAGCAACAACCCAACAGTCTTGAGAAGTGTGTGAGGGAGAGAGAAGGGTAGCCTTTCTTGTAGCACCAGACTCCATTTCACTGAGTGGAATGGTGGGAAAAGAAGCCCAGAGTAAGGGAGGAACTGGAAGAGCCTGGAAATCACAAGCATGGTGACAGACCAGATGTTGACTGAGCCAGAGAGATGGGCAGGAAAATAAGCAAAAGCTCCTCCAGCTGATCTACCCACCAGGTCGGCCTGCAAGTGACTCATAGACTTGAAGGAGTGTCTTGGGCCCCACAGATTTGGAGCAGTAAGCCCGAATCTGAGTCCTAAGAAGGATGGAAAAGGCTTTGGTTATAAGGAGGACTGGCCACTGCTTTCTTGGAAAGACAAAAAAGGTAAGCATCTTCTGCTTCTGGGTGGACAAAAGCATTTTCTTCCATGCCCAGGCAGCCAGGGTTTGAGAAGACCTGACATATAAAACACAATATGTTTCACTGATTCTCTTTTGCTATTCATAAAGGAAACAGAAATCCTTATTGGGAATGAGAAGTAAGACTTAAGGTTGTATTTATTAGGTTCTGAAACAATACACATTCACATCCTGTTGAATACAGTACATTTGGCACAATAATGTTTACAATGAAATAACACTAATGAATGGCAAGAGAGTAAAATTACATCCAGAAAGGAAAAAAAGTGTACAAATAAAGCATCACAACACAAAATAAACCTCCTAAAATTGAATACATTTTATATTTAGCCAGAATTATTTTGCACATAATTTAAAAAGAGGTAATTTTTTAGCCTTCTTTTATTTTTTAAAGCAAAATGCATTTTTTTCACCTTTGGAGGAAAAAAATGATGTTTTCACTTTACAAAGTCCATAATTAGAAAACACAGGAGAACAGCTATCCTTCATATGTTTTTGTTTTGTTTTTTTTTGGCTTTTTTTGCACTTCATCTTTTTCTTTGAGAGAGAAAGGCAGTAGAGAGAGGGAGAGAGGGGGGGAGGGGGGGCTAGAAAGATTATGAAGAACTAGTAGAAATGACAGAAATGTAACTGTGTCTGTTTCCCAACTTTTTTCCATGTGTGATGCTATAGCAATGAACCCCAGGGTCTCACATATGCTAGGATCCTAGGTAAGCATTGTACCCCTGAGCCATATCCTCCTTGCCCAAAATCTTGTTGAAAATGAGAGAAACAATGTACACCCAAGGAAAACACAAGCCTTTTTCTACAGATCTCCACTGGCTTTAAATATTTCTATGTAAGAACTTTATCAGCTAGAGGTAGCCCAGCCAGCCAGGCTTTGGGTGCTAAAAGGGAGAGCCAGGCTGGCCAATTGCCTAGAGCTGCAGGTGGAATGTATTGTTTGCCTTCCTGACAAATATGTTAGTTGTCCTAGAGGAAGGGCCTAATCCCAGCCACCATGAAAACACCACCTAGTCCTGGAACAAGACCACTTGGGTATGGCAGGTAGATCTGACTTAGTTGTCCAAAGTTCCTAACTTTGAAGAAAGCAGGGGGGTGGGGGTGGGGGGGGAGAGAGAGAGAGAGAGAGAGAGAGAGAGAGAGAGAGAGAGAGAGAGAGAGAGAGAGAGGAAGAGTTGTGCATGATGGGTATATTGTCACGTCTTTCTAAAAAAATGAGATGATGCCACCATGAAGATGTTTCTGTGCTTGTATTCTGCTCCAGAAGATAGTCTGCCCTCAATGCGTCAAGTTACCGAAGAGAAATTAATGTTCATCACTTCACTGGTACGCCAAACACATGGATTGATGCAGCATAATATTTAATATTTGCAATCATCATAAGGACAGATAATAGTTACACCTGAGTTTTTTAAAAATAAAAGCAAAACAGAACTAAATGTCATCATTAGTAACAAAGGCTGTGACCAGCCAGATGCAAATAAGGGACACACTTGCTATGGGCTCAAAATAGTCACTATCTAAGCTTTGAAACCACCATTGAGAACATTCCTTTCTTTCTCCCATCTCTATCAGGGCTAATAGAGCACAGGAGAACTATATGTGAGACTTAATGTAGCTTAATAAATGTTGACATTCTTTAAACCAAAATGAAATAAACAATATAAAGGACTCCCCTCCCCCCCAAAAGAATGAACACACCTAACTCTCGGTAACTTGAATCAATACACTTATAGAGTATTGCACCTGGACATTTTAATAATTACTCTTTCATAGACTAAAGTTTTATAATATGCCTGGACATGCAGCAGATACCTTTATATTCAATGAATGAATTCCACAGGCCTTGCAGCAAACACTATATACAAAAAAAAAAATCTCAAATGTACAAAAGGCAAAAAGCTTCATTAGTGCCACTTCGCCACTCACAAGTATATATATAGTTAGGGGTAGCTGGGAAATCCACGTGCAATAGCTGGAATGGATTCCATTCCCTGCTAGATCAATTCAATAAAATAGGTAATCAAATGACCTCTGGGAAACATATACACAAAGCCACAGAGAATCCTTGGAAATCAAAGAATATAACACTGTTAGCATAGCTACAGGAGGTAAGATCACATCAATTAAATAGTGTCCACATGAGTTGCTATCGCATATCACACAGAAATTAAACTCTGGGCACATCTTGTTACCTTGTCAAGGTTTCAAACCAATCGCTCTTCAGTCTCTTGACACTTCTGCCTAACCCATGTTGAGTTTTAGTCCTCTTGTTCCAAAACCAGATTCATAGTTAACTTTACATGTTTAATGTCTAAAGAACACAACACAGTAGTACTACCATTTTGTAGAAGTGCACAAAAAATACAACACAATGCTGCAGAAAATAAATAGCATTTATGCTGGGAATTTAGGATGAAACTGGAAGGAGAATTTGGGAGCTAAGTTTTGCTAGGATCTCAGGGTATTGGTCATGGCTGTGGTGGTTTTTGTGTCAAGGTAGAACTTTAATAATGATGAGCATTCCTTGCCTTCTTTTCTCTTGATTAACATAGCTCCCATGTGTAACTAAAGCTTTGACAGCATAGACCCTGAATGACTGGATTCTCACTGTACATTAGCCCTTTAATATATACCTGTATTCATGTTGAAATTGCTATGGTGCCAATTAGAAAGCAAATTTGGTAACTCATTTTTCAAATGTTAACAGAGTTCAAAATCAAATTTTTCTCCCACAAAGAATGATTTCTTCCATGAGATGCAAATGTGTAAGACTTTGGCATGCTCAAAAGCTAAAACCAAAGCAGCAAGAATGTGCCATTCACAAGCACACTGACACAGCTAGCCAGTCTGTTGCATCTCTTAGGCTCATTCCATCCAAGGCACACCTCAAAGTACCTGTCCTCATGTGGAAGAAGTCTTCGTTCTTCTTCTGGGAAGAAGGGCAGGGGTGCTAGCCCAGGGACAGGACGGATGAGAAGCAAGAGGTGTCAGGATTCTATATCCACTGGCACAGCCAAAAGTCTTCTTGTTGGATTAGTTTTTTTTTTCTTTGTGGTTAAAGAACTGAAGTTGCTTCATAGCCAAGAGCCCCAAGAGTAGGACCAGGCTTGTGGATGGACAGTCCAAACACGGCAGTGTGCACAGCTACCTGCTGACCCAACTTGAGTCTATGTTTTTGATGAGGCAAGACCCAAGAGTGCCTTCTAGTCACCAGGAAGGTAGGGGAAGTGGTGGTCTGGGGTAAGGGAATGCAATAAATAGAGTGGAATGGGACTGGGGCTCCAGGGAGGAGGAGGAGTTCAAGACCTTCTGAGCCTCTGTAACACAGGATCTTCACAGCAACCCCCTTGCAGCATCAGCGAAGTCCACCTGGAGTGGCTTCTCAGGGCATCAGGTCCTCACCAAAGTAGGAGAAGCCTTTGAATTCTTCCTGGTTGATCTGCTTCACAATCGCTTCATCCACAAGTGTGAGCACTGGCTCTTCCCGGGTAAAGTCTTGGTCAAAGTTATTGACATCTCTTTTGGTTTTCTGTGGGGAGGAAGAGAAAGCACTGAATCAAGGCTGACCTCCCTCCTGGGGGCCCCTCATAGGGAGTAGGCATCAAGGTGACCAGCCTCTCACCAAAGTGGGCCTCTAGCTACTTGGGAGCAGACACAAGGCTGTTCCAATGAGGTAACGATGGATGGCCCCAGGTCTGGGAGGTGACAGAGGAGGAAAGGAAGAATGAGTTTAAGGTGAGGAGGAAGAAGGGGTGTGTGGGTATGATGGAAAAGCAGGGAAGTGGGATTCCCATAGGCTGTGCGTGTGTGTAAGTGTAGGTGTGCACATGTGTGTATCTGGGGAGAGTGAAACACACAGCTTCTAATTCACACTCGTATCGCCTCTGCCCTAACTGTTGAGCTGCACCAATACCTTCTTCCCTGTGACCAGGGCACAAACTTGAATCTGCTACCCACTGTTCCCAGTATTCTTTCATCACTAGAGGGAGACTCCACAACTGTGACACATCTACAACATAGGTGAGGATGAAGATGGGCTGAGGACTGAATCATCTTCTGGGGAGCCTACCCTGATCCCCACCTGCTCTCTGCATGACCTTATTATGTGCTCCTATGGATTTTGCTATTATTACACCCAGCACTTATTCTGACAAGTCAGTCTTGCTGTGATGTGATAATACTTCTGTTTGGACCATATATTTCTTGTTTTATTCAACCTTGGGTTTCCAGTAGTTTGCACAAGGCAGTTAGTAAATATATGTCAAAAGAAGTGAGCAAACCTATTGCTCATCCCCCAGCGGAGAAGGATTCACACGTTGTTGGATGCCAAATGGAATTGTGTGGTTTACAGTGACTGGGTTTGTAGAACAGCAATCAAGCAACCCACATACAAATCCTAGTTTCTAGAAGTGTAAGTAATGCTCTCTGCATTTAGGCTGAGTTGGGAAAACACTCTTCTTGTCTAAGACACAATGCACAGAGAAGTAAGTGCTTGGTTAAGACTGAAGAACAGGCCGCACTTGTGTTAGGAGAGATGGAAGGAGGGCACCTTGCAGGGAGAAAGACAGGACAAAGATGGAACACAAAAGATGTCTGCACAGGACAGTGCATTTGCCAAACTGCCTGGGGCAGTGTCCAGCATGGGGATGCTGGGAGGTGAGGCTGCAGTCCAACTGCTGAAACCGTCAATGCCCATGGCCCCTCAGCACAAAGCCACATGGCAGGAAGGTTGGAGGCACTCCAGCAGTGCCTTTTCAGATACCGATTCATTGCACTACCTAGGATTAGTGACCTGGATGATTTTATGGAAAGGTTGTTATTATTTATAGGAAAAACAATTTTAGTACATAAATGGTGTTAACAGGTAGTCCATGAACCAAAAGCAGCTTTGAGACAAAGTTGTATTTTTCTATTCTGTTGTTGGACAGTTGCTATGCACACGAGCAAATTAAAATCTCTAAGAAGTAGCTAGTATTCTTTAAACTTGACATAAAATGTTTCCCCCCTGAATAGCTTAAGAACAACCTCTCCTCAGAGCAAAGATATGCAGAAAATAGTTTGGGAGGCACTGCTTGAGGGTTTCCAAAGCACCTTAATCTTCATTCCCTCATTTGATCCTCGGAACAGGAAGGCATTGGATCCTGATTTTACAGTTGAGTAAATTGGCTCAAAGAGCCAATTCGATGGCTTGGCCAGAGTCACCTGACTAAGAAAGAGCAGAGCCAGAATTCAAATCCAGGTCTCAGCATGATGCCTCCTATGGTATGAGTGGACTGGAAATAAGGACACTGGAGAAATGGGATGAGATATACAAACAAGGGTCAAAGTCAAGCAAGACAGATTTAGGAAAAGCCATCAGGCTAAAATAAAGCCAGAAAGACCTGGCGTAATGGTCTAAACATAGTTTGAGAGCTTTGTGGATCAGAGAGAGAGAGAGAGAGAGAGAGACAGAGACAGAGAGACAGAGACAGACAGAGACAGAGAGACAGAGAGAGAGAGACAGAGAAAGAGAAGGAGAAGGAAGCTTGGGTTGGGAAGCAGGCAGGGGTTCTGTTTTCACAGGGCGTGGATTGAGGAGAATCATGGGTGGCACACAACAGGGATGAGCTATTATTTCCAATCTCCTCAGTACTGTCAGGCCTGCGTGGTGTCCTCTCTCTGGGTCTGCATCGCATAATTCAGGTCTCAGAGAGCATGGAAGGAGGTCAGAAGGGAGGCAGAAAACCAAGGGATTTCCAGTCATAGGACTTGTAGCTGCAGAATGTTGGTGTTGCTCCTTGAAATGGGAAGCTCAGGTGTGGCTTGGTAGTCGCTGCCAGAAAGGCTGACCCTGGGCAGGACTAGTTGTTCTCCAGGATGTAAAGCGCCAGAGGAAAAGGGAGGCCCAGGCTGAGAGCCACTTCAGAGAGGAACAACAAAACAAAGCCTCTCCCCACCACCATGCATGTTAGCTACGGGAGGGTGCGGGCTGGGGAAAAGGGTGTGGTGACACCTTTTTTATTTTTATTTTTTGACAATGCTAGGGGTTGAAGTCAGGGCCTTTTGCTTGCTAGGCAGGTGCTATATACTTGAGCCACATCTCTGGGCTCTTTTTTAAACTTTTTTTTTTTTTCAAGGTAGGGCCTCACTTTATGTCTGGGTAGGCCTGGGTTTTCTGCCTTTCTACTTGTGATTCCTTGGTGTTACTGGGGATGACAAATGCAGGCCAATGCTCCCCAGCCAGATGCCCCCTCTCCAATAGCTGGGATAAAAGATGTACACTGTAGTTCCGAGTCATTAGTTGAGATGGGCTCTCATGAACTTTTATGCTTGAGTTGGCTTCTAATCACAATCTCCTGATCTCTGTTTTCCCAGCAGCTAGGATGATAGGCCTAATACCTGTCTGGTAACACTTAATCTCTGTTGAAGGATGGAGCGGGTCAAGGAGCTGAAGAATGAGGAGGACTATGTAATATGGGTCTACTGTGTTCAGTGAAGACAGCCTAGATGGAGGGGCTGAAGGGGTGATGGCAAGAATTTGGGACGCACCAGAGCATCATTCCAAAGAGCAACCAAAAGACATCCAGTAGGTCTGAAGCACAACTGTGTTGGGGATCAAACTCAGGGCTTCAGGCACACTAGGCAAGCACTCTACCACTGAGCTACATCTCCAATCCAGGCAGTTACTAATTTCCAATTGAAATAGCCAACATCTCCATAGGGCCACACTCCTGACTATTCACATCAGAGGCTTAGAAAGTTTGTTCCCTATCACTGACACATCGGCAGCATAGCATCCCCTAATTTGGAAAGAACTGAAATTATATCCTTATTCTCTGACTTTACTTCTCAAAATGCCTTGCCTTCCCTCTTGAAGCAACCTGGAGCCTTGACACCTAGGTTCTGAGGAGGACATTCTAGGGATACAGTGTATCCTGGTCCTCAGTTGGTCACATACTTCCCCCAATGCCCAAACAGCCTCTTGGCTGCATTGCCAGTCTGAGAGATGACACTGGATATGGGAAACACCATTCTGACTGCATAGCTTCCCTCCTCCATGAAGTTGTTTTCCATCACCTTTGGGCCTCACTCAGGGAAGGCTGCAGAGAGGAGGAGTTAGGTAATTGGCTGAACTCTCATCCTGGTACTGCCTACTACTCCTCACCTCCACTTATATGACACAGATGTTAACCTCTGTAACACATGGTCACAAGTGAGGCCCTATCCTCAACGAAAAGCCCCATGAGAATAGGGAGCTGGTAACTGAGTTCTTGCTCAGTTCCCAATCTTAGTGCTGCGTACGGTGGAAACACATCATGTGCCTGCTGGGTGTGGTACCCAGCACCGTTCATGTGATTGATGTGCCCACTGAGGAGCTTCTGGCACCAGCTTATGAGATACCTTATATGAATCTGTATGCCTCCAGATTCTGAATTCATATGGAGCCAGGGCCTGCCTGAATGTGCTAGTGCTTCTTCCCAGTGATTGTTCTCTTCTGTGGCATGCTTGGGAGCATGTCCTGAATATTTGTACTCACTCACTTCGGAGGCTTTTAGATCACATCCCTGTCTACTCCCCCAGCTTCAGCTCCCCCGGACCCGTGAAGCACAAGGCATTCCATGCTCATGGATTTTCTCCTCCCTTCAGATTTTGCACAGGTGAGCCTCTCCCAGGTGTCTTCTCTCCTCCTTGCCTTCTGCCCCACATCCCTTTTCCTCCTGGAGTATAGATTCTCTTCCTTCAGGGAAGAGTGTTTTGAACCACCATCTCTCCTAACTTCACATACCCAGTTCCTCTTTCACCTGACTTGTCAGCCTCATGCAAGTGGAGACCTGATGGAATTCACCATTCCATTCCTACCCTCTAGCACAATGCCCAGCATGGACGGACACTCCCAGCTATCTGCTAGAAGGAAGGGATGCACCTCACTTGTTGTTGCTTAATCTAGAGCCAGCAATGTGACCAGGGTTCAGGGCCACTGGCTGCTATCCTGCCAGAGGGGTTTGTCATTTGGAGAATTTGAGGTAGGAGTAGGGAGGGGCTGACTCTGACTCATGAAGAGTTTAGAGTTAGATAGCGTAGACCAGCACTGTGCCCTAGGGGCCCTGCAAAACAGGAGATTTCAGCCTAATTAATGGGCTCTCTCTTTCCAGTGCTTGGGGGCACAGGGTTCTCTAATTACTGATACAATATAGGAACAAGAGCAGTTACAACCAAGGTTTGGGAGAATTCCATCAAGATAGATGTGTTTAGGGACTTGGTGGGTATGTCTTTGATTCTCATGGATGATATTAGGAAAGAATGTTCTATTGCTCCTGGCATCCCTTCAGAAATAAGGTCTTACATTTGAGGGCTCTGAGCCTGATATGGTAGATGGGGGTGGGCATGCTTTTGAGATGTCTGCAGTGGGGGGAAAGGGACACAGGAAAACACTTTCAAACTCCCCCCATCCCCCCACCAAGAGTGTATCCCAGAAGCAGAGGCCCCAGGCCTGCCTTATCCATCATGCCTGGCGGCTCCACAGAGGCTGTGTTAGACATCAGCGTTGAG